TACCTTTACTAAATTTTATCATCGGTACAAAGACACATTCGTAAATATAAATCAACATGCAGACATCTTATACGTTCAGGTATTTCACATCCAATCTTTTATGGTAATATTCTTTACAAAGCACAAAAATGTCGGCATTCACCTCAAAAGCTAATCCAAACCTTTAAACAGACTTATTCAGAATGGATATAGCTACGATACTGTTGTCAAGTCATTAAGAATGGCATATTTTGGTACTAATATTGATTCACTGATAGGATCTTTGCATCGGAAATAAACACATTTATTCTAAAACCAGTTGTTGGCATGATACGGGTTATGTTCTTCTCATATATGTTATGATGGTATGATACTAAACCCCTAACGGAAGGGATTGTGCTTGTTCTTCATATGATGAAGACATAATCTTTCAATCAGTTTAATTGAGGTCTGGAGCTGGCATGTCAGTAACTGCTAGTAGTCCTTTGTTTATTGATGTATCATTGTCATTTTCCTTAGTTTCTTTTGTTACTTATTCTGACATCGGACTCGGACTTCTTCTTGAACTGAGTTTTACTGTGCGTATTGCTGTGTGTTTCTTTATTCTACATTGCCTAGAGGTATAGGGGGAGGGTTGAGATCTCAGAAAACATGTTTAACCCCACCGCATTTTTGCACCTGTCCCAAGTCATGAGCCTCTGGTCTTTGGTGGTCTTGTATATTTTTTAATTTAAGTTCATTTATATGTTTTGGAGTTTAGTATGACGTCCATTTCTCTGAACGAGTACACATTTTTATTTAGCGCCAGCTGAGGCCCACTTCGGATGCGTGATTTTCTCGCTCCATTGAAGACTCATTGGTGGCCTTTGGCTGTTATCTGCTCTATGGTCGGGTTGTTGTCTCTTTGACATATTCCCCATTCCCATTCTCAATGTTATTGCAAAGAAATTATCATCGTTTCAAATTTACAATATATATTCACATTTACGGTTAAACCTATTGACTGTTAATAAAGGCTTGAAATTTGTTTTGAAATATTAGCCGGCCAGAAATACAGTTTTTTTTTGTTAGTAAGAAAACCAATAACACCAGATTAGCAGTGCATTTCATTATTAGCTCAATTTACAAAATTCCTTAGTTAGCTTTTCTCATCACTTGGCGTCCGTCATCCGTTTAATTTTACAAAAATCCTCTTAAACTACTTTTCCAATGGGAACCAAACTAAGTAATAATCATCCTTGATAAATCTATATTAAAAAAATGTGTCATATGATTCTGTCCGCCAACCAACACGGTCGACATGGCTAGAAAATAACATGAGGATATAATACGTTTTGTGTTTACTTTCTTCAAAGCCCCTTCAGAATGAGAAAATCTGACTGGCAGAAATTTGCAATACAATTCGAGCTACCTACTGTCAATGTATATAAAATGGCGACTTCGTATAGAAGTGATTGCTGTTTAATTGCAGATTTTATCTTTTTTTAATTTTTGCCTATAATTTTGTAAACTAAAACAGATAAAGAAAACTTTAAGAGCAAAACTGATCAGAAGACAAGATCTACAGATAATCTGACATGGCTGATATCTGCAGAATACTCCTTAATAGAGTTATTGTCCTTAAATGACGATTTTTACCATTTTTTGGCGTTTTTGTCTCTTGTCTCAAAAACAATAATCCAAGGATAGATTTTTTAGATACAAGAAACATAACTGGAAGCAGCTGGGTAGGCCTATGCACTCATATTGTGTGATATTTTATCATTATCATAAGACACATTTGCCCATCTAGGTAAAAATACTTATTTCAAAGTAGTATGAAAATGTAATGTACGTTGTTTTCATCATTATTTGTTATTGGCTCTTGTAAATGCTACATTAAGGTGTCTTCTGTCACGTCCGCACTTTGGAAGGGAGTGTTTGTTTGTTCTATCCAAGATTTGGAACTTTTCTCCGGCATATTTAGTTTAAAAGTAATTATGGGATCTTATGATACGTTATCCTCGGTAAACATGTACCCGTCTTACAATGACAAAAATACTAGTCTGTGAGATCTGTAATTGGAATTATATTTTGAAAATGAATGCGTTTTTCCTTATTATTCTTACTATAATATGTGTGTATTATTGTATAAATACAGTGCTTTTTAACCGACCCGTGTCATATCTTTAGATAAAAGCAACAGGTACGATCACGTACTGCTGTTTACTTGACGAAGTTGTAAGAAAGTCAGTAGGTAAAACATTTTATTTTCTACTAATTAAAAATTCTTTAATTGATCAGAGTTCTGTTCTACATTTTTTTAATAAAGGGACAAAAGTAGCGATTCGATGTTATATTTTCTTGTTTACATTGTCAAATATTCGTAAAGGCCTTCGCCGCATACGTCTCTCGCCTACGATTGCTTCTGTCTGTGTAAAAGTGTAAAGTTGACTGCCAAAAACACGGCCCATTTATAAGTGAAACACGAAAAAAATAGAAGCTTTTTTGTTTAGATGCTACTTCTTTATTTACAGTATCAGTGTCGTAACATTGAAGGATGATCTAACACAGTTGTTTATGTCTTAAAATTTATCGTTCGATTGTATGTCAGTGATAAATGAAAAAACAACCTGAAAATTGAAAACAAAAATATGTTTTTAAATTTGGCCAAAAAATATGTCAAAGTAGGTAGGGCCAATTACTTCTGTATTTGATTTACTTACATGGTCAAAATATAAAAAGTATTTAATCCTGATAGACATTGAAAATACCATTATCTAAATTTTTTGGAAAAAATGGACAGGTCAATATATCATATACGTAACATATATTTTTTTTACCAATTTTACTTTATTCATTTCCATAAAATCAAAATGCTATTTTGCGCTACGTGATGCTGTTTTAAGAATTTTGATATACAACTGAAGTTCAAAAGGGGTTTTATTTATCAGATTTTTCATCGAAGGACATTGCTGACCATAATGAATTATTTTGTATATTAAAGACAATTCATGGCTTACTTTCAACAGAATTTAAGTTTTGGTTCCCGAACTCCTTTTTAAATATTTTTAGGAAAAATACTTGATATTTGGCAAAATCTGTTACAATTGAGTTTTTGGCTTCATTCAGGAAATTATAATTTGTTGATTTGTTAAGAAATGAGACATTATGTTTTAAAACGTTAAACACATTGTGCGGCGATACCATGAATAAAAGTCATAAGTGAAAGCATTTTTGAATATGGCCCTGTTGTAAAATAAATACAAGGGAAATTGACCCTACCTCTTTTACTTATTTAACTGCCTTTCATTTGATAAAGAAGAAATTTTTGTCTTAGTTTCCATAGAGATATGTATGCTGAATAATTTTGTAACCATAGATTAAACATAAATGTTGCCGACGACAACGAGGTGTACGATCGCTATGTCTCGCTTCCGTGACTTTCGTTGTAGGCTCAATAAAAATGACACGATCTTGTATAAAAAGGGATTTCTATAACGTTTTTTAATCAAATAAGATATTCGCTTCTTTTTTATCAACCAGTTGAGAGTTGAGTTAAATAGTAATGATCTTTATAATTTAAATGACCAAAATCATTGTAATTCCATGCCGAATACCGTTTACCTTTGATGCATAGTTCTTTTCATTGACGGCCTTTGTAGGTATACCACGTAAAATTTCATTCACTAAGAATAGGTACCTGAATGTGAGCCTGAAAATGGCATAAACTAACTATAATTTATATTGTTTTAGTCTTTTTTTTAATTTTAATGTCATATTAAAAGACCTTTTAGAATTGAAAGAGAAAAAAAATATAGGTTTTCTGTTCTTAATTCAAAATAAAGATAAAATAAAACATGCAGAAAGGTACTGTATTATTTTTATGAATCAATATTGCTTTTATATATGTGATCAAAGGAGTGGTAAAAGATACCAAAAGGACATTCAAACTGATTAGTCGATGACAAATTGAGAACGTTATGACAAAAACGAAAAACGAATTAAAGACATGCTAAAGTATTTAAAACACAATACAGAAAACTAAAGATCGAGCAAAACAAACCCCACCAAACGGTCTTATAATGTCCATAGACAGATTAAGACAGGTCGTTTCTTCTGTATTTTACCAGCTTCATTCGTATGGGAAGAATTCAAATGGCAGCATGATAAGTTATAAATATTGAAAATTGCAAAATTGCATTAAGACACAGCTTATATTTTGCAGTGCGTAGAATATATTTCAACAAACTTGTTAAAGGCCAACAACAATATGAATAAATTTGCAAACTTTATAATGGAATGCAACTGAAAAATTCTTTATGATATCTGACTGAGTTTTCAAAAAATTGTGAATATCTAAGAACTGGCAAATTTTACCGATTTTTACCTACTATCTAACTTATAAAACAAATAAGATGGACTCGTATAGTAACTGTTTTGCCACGGAACAATGTGTACTCAATTGAAACTGTTAATTACTTTTCTCATATTATATTGTAGGTGCGTATTTTATAGGGTTTTCTATTTGCGTGGTTTGTGGCTGTCATACAAGTGAAATGTTTAGCTAGCTATAAAGCCAGGTTTTATCCACCATTTTCTACATCAGGAAATGCTTGTACCAAATCCGGAATATGACAGTTGTTGTTTTTCCATTCGTTTGATATGGTTGAGCTTTTGACTTTATTAAAGAACTTTCCACTTTGAATTTCCCTTGGAGTTCAGGTTTTTTTTTTTATTCTTTTTTTTATTTTACTTTTTATTACAACAGCAGTTTAATGATTTTCTTTTTTCTTTTAATGAATCATAGAATTAACATATTCTTAATTCTTTTGGTATTTTTAATTTTTTTTATTTTCATTCTTGCATCTAATATGACAATGAATGCGGATTATGTAATTCACTGAAATTTTTATTTTAATTTTAATCTTATTGTAATAGAAACATGTGTGTGATTGTTTTTTCCTCTTGATTTACAGTGGTTTGATTGCGAAATGTATATAAAGAGTATTTCTCAGCAATCAGATTATCCCTGCAGAAAACTTGATTTAGTAGCAATGAATAAATTCAGTGTCACAGTTTTGTTGGCTTTAGTCCTTATTGGATTATTTGCCGTTCAGAGTGGTAAGTAAAGGTTTGACTTATTAAAGCGTTCATTAAATTTAATTTTTTAATATTTTTATTAATTGTCAAACATTATGTATGTACGTAACACTTGATATATATGTTATGTCAGATTTTTTAAATAGAGACAGTAGCTACATGCAAAAATACTAGCTATCAATTTCTTCATTTTTAAATTGGAAACAAACTCTTGAAACAATTAAATTAAGTCTTTATATCCTACCAAAATTGGCAATTACAACAACATCAAAGGGATGGGAAAACAGGAAGAAAGCTATAATTTGTATTCTTGAAGTGAGTATTTTTTCCTTACTATTTGTCATTATTTTGATGTTGTTGAAAAATTTGTTATATATTGTTTGTCTTCTTATAGTTTTCCATAATTCTTATATATAAATTATACAAATTATCATTTACTGGCACATAAATAAGAGGAAATATTTTTTTTATTTAAAGTTATAATTGATAACGTTTTTTTTTTCAGATGCAGGTTATGTAAGTTTAAAAATATTTGAAGTTTGTTATGGTATGGCATCAAGATATTTGGTTTTATCATAAACTTAACAGTTAATACAAGTCAACGTTATTTATAATACAATGAATGAAAATCGTTCGGTGTCCAACATCCGTGACGATTCAGTCACGGTTACAAAGTCTAATTGATACCTGATAGACATCTGATATAGGGACATAAATAAACGGCAAACACTTTTTCAAATGAGATGGTTTTTTTCCATATCACTCTACGTATCAACCTTCAACCAATAAGCCCTCAGTGTGTAATATTGAAAAAAACTATAGACGTGAGATTGCGCACTCTATACAGTAATATATGTATATAAGAAAAAAAAAAGAAGAAAATGCATATATATCGTTGTATCAAAAATTGTTCACATAGTCTACATTGTTCACATTGTTACTACCGGTTTCACTCCTCACGGAAGATATTCATGGTAAACATATATACAATCTTTCAAAATAAACTTTGTTAGTGGTAAAGTCACGTTACATTTACTCTTCGCAACAAAGGAGGTAACGTTGATATAAATTGTTCAAAATAAACGTTGTTAGTGGTAACGTCACGTTATAAACATATTAACTTATTTATAATATATCAATCAACTATAACAGTCTTATCTATTATTGGGTATATAACTCATGTTCAAATATTTTCAAATATATATAAAATAAAAAAAAATTGGACTAAACTAGAGTTGCATGCCGTACGGCGACTATAGGTCATTCACATCCTTGTCTTTCTGTCTTGTTGGATAGATGTCTCAATTTGGATGCAAACCTATCAAATTTTCATAAATGGACTTTTTGTTATGTGCTTAAAAAATGTTTAACCTTGTTTTATGTTCAAATGTTTTTTTCAAATTCATGATCAGAATCCTCGTTATCGATTAATAGATGTATCGTAATGTCCTTCTTTGAATCTAATGTTATAATATATTTTTACGTCCCTGTTTGATAGTTTTCATTACTGCTTAGTTGCGATATGATTAGGTACAGATTGAATATACAAATTTGTCAACTGTTAAAGGTATTTTGAATACTATATGTCGCATTGGTTGGTGTTGCCATTGATTGACGTATAAGCCGCATCGCCTTTAATGTATATATATTCTGATGGAACCAAATGTACGCCTCTTTTTGTTGACATGTTCCTCTTTTATTTATATGAAGCTGACTGCATTCAAGAGGTTCTTAGGAAGAATGAAAAGAAGATAGCATTATCCTTTAACTTCACTTTCGCTATAAAGATGATAACCTCACACTGAATAACTAAAACAATTATGACTTTGTTGAACACATGTATCCCAATGACATGAAATAAAGAATACAACAAATACAGTTAAGGTTATACGTGTTGACATCTGTAGTTTGTTAGCTCTTTTTTTTAAATAAGTTTTTTAATTTTCAAATATTTTGGATTCGAGCATCACTGAAAAGACATTTATTGTCGAAATGCCCATCTAGTGCAGCAAAATTGGTACCGTTAATATTATTAAGTCGGCCTCATATTTTGACTTGTATATATAAATTGACAATGAGGATTGTTTGAAAAAAAGACTTAACAACAAAAGAGATGATTTCAGATTTTTATATTAATTGTGAACTTTCCATTTCTCGTAGCAACATTCAATTAGCGCCTGTATATGGTTATGATTCTCCTAGTTGATACGATACTCTAGACCTTGCATTTCGTATCATGATTTCCTTGAAGGTATTAAACAAAGAGTTCCAAGAAGTGAAGTTGAAACCCTCCCTTCTAAAATTTAACGGACGCCATCACCAGTTGGTTGACTGTTATGGAATATCTAGTTCACAGATGACAACAGATATGTACAAATTGTCGTACCCATAATTCCGTCCTCTTTTCCTCGAATGTGACCTACTGCATACGATTTTTGACCGGGTATGTACGTTCATGAGTAACATGTTGGATGCCAAATGTGGAACAGGGTCTGCTTACCCTTTAGGAGGACTTGAGATCCCCACGATTTTTGTTGGGGTTCGTGTTGGGCAGTCTTCATTCCCTGTTGCTTTTTGTATACTGTTGTTTTTCTTTTTTTCTTTTTACGTTTTTTTGCCATGGTTTTGTCTCCTTTTTTTCGATTGGACTTAAATCATCGACTACATAGTTAATATATTTTCATCTTATTAACTGATGTTACGCCATCAAAGCGGGAGGTTTGGCATGCCACAAAACCAGGTTCAACCCACCATTTTTTTTCATAAAATGTCCTGTACCAAGTGAGGAAAATGACCATTGTTATATTATAGTTCGTTTCTGTGTGTGTGTTACATTTTAATGTTGTGTTTTTGTTGTGTCGTTGTTCTCCTCTTATATTTGATGCGTTTCCCTCAGTTTTAGTTTGTAACCCGGATTTGTTTTTATCTCTATCGATTTATGAGTTTCAAACAGCGGTATACTACTGTTGCCTTTATTTACGCATCGGTTTTGAATTGTTTTATATGTCTACATCATAATTAATTCAAAATTTAATGTTTTTTTTTTAATTTCAGGGTTATGATCAAGGATATAATGCACCATGGCCATACAACAATGGTTACTATGGCTATAATGGATACAATGGATACCACGGACGTTATGGTTGGAATAAGGGCTGGAATAACGGTCCATATTTAGGATCATATTCGGGAAACAAAGGCTATCTGTATTAGTACTGAAACAAGAAAGTTATCAATATTGATATGAATGATAGATAAATAAAGCTTTATTTGTGTTTCCTCTTAGTTACTTTTTGTATGTATCAATCCATCGTTATTATTGTGGTCGATTGATTTGCAGTTGGAAAAACACGAATGTTTAGTTAATTGTATGTAAATATTTGCAAATCCTCTCAAACTTTGAAAAATCTGAATTTTATTGATACATGAACAGGTTGATATAATCTTGTTACTTTAGTAAACAACAGTAATTTGTGGTGTCACCATGACGTCATAAATATCTTGATATTTTCGTATTTTACATATTTTACGCTAAGTTTTTGGTCAACATATAAATGCACAGCAACAGTTTTACACAAAAAGGCATTTTACAAACATTTTTGGGTAAATCGGTTAATCATACAAATATCTAATAATAATCACAAGATATCAAAATGAGGTTATTTTGGACACATTTACTGTTTTTGCACCAAATGTAATATGTTTGGAGCCCTATCTAGGAGATACATCAATTGCTCGAGTTTATCCATGTTATTACATATACAGAAAAGTGTGGTGTGCACCAAAAATATCCTTTTTCATAAAATAGGAGGGACAAAATTCTCAATTTCTTTTTCTGTTTGCACTTTTATATCTATATTCAATAACCAAATTCTGTTCAGATAAAGACTTAAGGTAAGAACAATATTGTTGAATGAGTAGATATTTATATACTATGCCTCTTATTATTAATAATGGAAAAAGTCTCATATCGGTCACTACAATACTATCCATATGCTGTTTTCTTTGGATAAAATGTTGCTACCAGTTTAGTGTTAACTTGAATTAAGTGAAACAATGTTGGTACAAATTTTTTATGTATTTTTTTTTTGCTTGAAATAAAGCATAATGATATTGAGGAAAGGAGAAGTCAATGTAGCAAGTGTGGTTCTGTTTTAGGTATAGAACCTCTAATCTGTGCTCGGTCACAAAGAATATACAAATTCATACAAAATAGTTCCTACGCATAGCTGCAACTTTGTCAAAGAGAAAACTGTTTGGATAATTTTAGTATCAAATGGAAGCTTATGGACTTTGGATCACTGTAGAACCATTTTTTAAATATTCTTTTAAATATTGAAATAGAAATATATGAAATTATGATATGATGCCATATTTGCACTGTTGCCAAGATCAGAAGTACCTGATTAGTACTACCAAACTTCCTGAAACCAGCGAGCCCTTATTTGTAATGGAAGGTATGTTGAATATTCAGCACATATCATGATAAGGAATGGTTTTTCTATGAAATAACTGCAATTTTATTTGAACTTTAGAAAAAATAGCTATAAATGCTTCAAAGAGGCATACTATAGCATAGAAAGCAATTGGGCTATGAATAAGTGGTTTTATTCGAAATGGGATGTAGATCTTCTTTATATTTGAGTACAATGAACAGTCCAAAAATAGAACAAATAATTACTACACAGAAATCTGAAGAATGAGTAAAACGAACAAATTACAACGTTATTCAAATGAAGAACGAAACATAGCAGTACCCTAAAGATGTTCAAATAAAACATTTTTTTTCAATTTCCTTACAATGATTATAGTTTAGGAGAATTGGGACTTCAAAAAAGAAGATTCTGATTTTACTAGCAGAGACAATCAGTTCATGGCCATATATACACCATAAAATTTGCTCGGCAGACCCTTTTAAAAGAATGGGCATACACTTTCTTTAGACATAAAACACAACGTTTACCAGGCCATCCATAAGTTAAATATTGTAACATCACTTTAGTTGGAACAACTAATTAAAGATACTGGGCTTAAATTCTGATACTTCAGATGCGTGTTTTAACAGTTTTTTTTTTGTTGTTGATCATCCTCAGTAACGACTTAAATTTTTTTTTTTTTTCATTGAATTTCCAAAGACATGAAAATCTAATGCTTCTAAATAAATAGGTATTCATTCTAAATCTATTCAGCACTTGAATGCACTGTTTCAAGGTTACAATTGAACACTAACAACACAATTTAATGATATTAACAGAAATCGCATGTCTATTGTAAACAAGAGTCTTATGTTTAATTAAAAGCATTGCATCATCTGAATGAATTTATTAAAACAAACATAATTGATACCGGTACAAACGTGTTTGCTTCATGATTATTTGTGTCAGATTTTTTTGTATTTTTGCATATTTTAGACACCATCTGTTTCATATTGCCTAAAATAATGCCTTATCAATCAACAATTCAATCTAACATAAAGGTCTCCGTTCCCAAATACTTACTGGCTCAAGATCTGGTACATAAATATGGAACCATTAATTCTTTTCCTTTAATAAAAGAAAAACAAAACGTTAAGGTGAAATTTTAACACTGATAATTCATGGAGTTACTAATAACTCGTATGTTATGAAGTTGGGTCCCCCAATCCCCTTTAATTTGTTTAAAACAGCCTTAAGCATGGTTTTCTATTCACAAATTTATAGTGATTTCCCATATTTCAAGATCGTGATTTGTACATTGATAGAACAACTCTTGCAACAGAGATACAGATAGTATATACTGTAAAGACGTTTACAAAAAATTATATTTTATTTTTAATTTTTAGTTTTTCATTCAATCATACATAGTACCACTATTTTCATCAAATGTATGGTCAATGCTTTTATTACACCGCTTTTTGTCGAATATTTGCTTTTTGTCTGACGTTGTCTTTTGTTGACGTTGCGTTTTGTACGGCGTTGCGTAAAGTCCATTATTGTTTTTTGCTAGAATAAATTAGCTTTTTGTCCTAAACTGTATATTCCCCCTTTGCTAAAACAACAGTTGTATAGACGTTGCAACCGCGATATGACGTCTCTGAGACCGCAAAAAAAAAAATACGATCGCAAAGACATTGGAAAGATCTCTGCGACGTCTTGACAAAACCTGGTTAGCAACAGTGCATTAATTCATTGTACGCTGGAAAAATGTCTTCCGTGGTTAAAAACATGTCAGCATTTGACACTAGAACTGCGAAACATCTAATTTTAGGTTAGTCTGTCTTATTTAAAAATCAAGGGAGGTCGGTTGAGAGCAACAGTTACCTTAACCATTGACATATTGACCTCAGAGTTTTCATCTGGATACCCTTTTTCCACCAAAACATCCGTGTTTTAGTACCAGTGACCTAGATCTTTGACATATTGCCCAAATATTAATAGGCTTCTTTCCATTCCATGTATTTTTGATCCCTGTAAGTTTCATTCAAAGTTAGCAATGGATATTCAAGTTGTCTTCCGAAAACCATTTGTTTCGGTCACATGACGGACAGACGGACAGACGGATGGAATGACGGACTGACAATGCGATTATTGTATTTTCCTGAAATTTTGTCGAGGAAAATAAGAATTGATAAGCTAGAGACCACTGTGAGTGATGAGATGATTCATTTTTGTCCTTAACAACAACTGTATTGTGTACGTGCGTTTCGGTAATCAAGTTAAACATTTTAAGTGATATTCCAATGGGTACGGATTGCGTCACTTTGATAACATTTTTGTTACGGTATTGTTATAAAATTACCTTTTTTTGCCAAGCCCTTTAAAGATCCGTCTTAATTTATTTGAAAGGTAACAAAATATAACACGGTCACTTGATGGTATGTATGCCATTGGTTTAAGTAACCAAAAATGCTTTAATTTTACAGCTGACATTTGCCTCCAGGAAACACACTTTAAAAACAAAAGATATAAATGAAGAACAATACTTGTCCTTTTCTTGGTTTCAATATTTCAGTTTCACACATAAAACTGCATGCAATGTTTACTAAAAAGAGACGATTTATCTTTCCCTATTGTTTATTTTCAATTTGAAAATGATGTGCCGTTGGTCTCTACTTATGATGCTTTTATTTCCCCACTGGTACGTTTTGCTTTATAGCTTACAGGAAAATAAAGTTTCTTGCTTCTACAGAAACTGTCGGTGTTGGAAATTTGGCATCTACCTAGTTTTGAATTTCATTCGAAAGACTTAAAATACTTGTACGTTAGAATAAAAAAAACAAAAATAAATAAAAAACAAAACAAAACTAATTCGTCCTGCGTATGGGTTTAATGCATACGCACTTGTCTCAGATTTTTTAACCTAGACGTTATATAAAGATGTAGGGGTTAAATATAATAAGAGACACACTCCTGTGGCTTAACGCAACAAACCACTTTGTCTCATGTAGTAGTAGTTGTAGTAGTTGTAGTAGTTGTAGTAGTTGTTTTCCTTTTGACCACAGTATTCTAATGAAAGACTCAATTTCGGTAAGGGAAAAATGGGCTATTCTTCAAACAGAATTTCTGATGGTGGGGTCATTTATAGCTGACTATACGGTATTGGGTTTTCTCGTTGAATGAAATGCTCTTGTGCGCAAAGGTCGCTTCAACCAAAAGAAGATCCGTTGTTTTGATCTGATCAACAAAAATGATAAAAAACCAATATCATATTTTCCTTGTCAAACCATAATTGTAAAAATTGTTTGAAGTTTATATCTGTTTCAGGAAAAAAATATTAAATCTTCTTAAAAAGTGCAATTTTTAAAAAAAAGTCGTGAACACCAAAATAATCAAAAATCTATTTCTAGTAAGATACAAACAACAAAAATTAAAATACAAACTCCAAGTAAACAATTAATTAGGTGCATAAAATGTGAATTTTAAAATATGTTTTCACTGATGGAGCTAGAAACAAAATAAGGAAATACGAAAAGATTTGAAACGTTGAAAAGCATTGATCACAGAATAAGAACACCAGGATGCTCTAATAAGAGAATGACACACTTTCATAAATTGATAGACAACCTGCGAATCAATATAAATCACAGAAATATGTATAAAACATAAAGTTATAAAGTGTAATTTTCATTTGGTGAAAATGTTCACGCCGTGCAAACAGAATAAATTTTTAAGCAAATGTTTTGACAAGTATATAATTGCTTCATCTCTGTTTCGAAAGTTGATTAATTAATTTTCATGTCATGTTCATTGCAATATGGGAAATTACTGCAAATTCGTGAAAACAAAACAAGCAATAGACG